CACTGGGCCGGGCCACTGGAGAGAGAGGCCCAGCTCCTGGCTGTAACAGTATTTACTAATAGTCAGGGAGTAGAGAAAAGTGAAGCGTTTGCTGGTTCACCACGAGAGAGCAGTGGGTACTGTGGGGCCCTGCCTGGTGTGAAAAGAGAGTCAGAGGTAGGAACAATTTGGAGGCATTGTTTTTTCACTTTAGAGTACACATTTGTTTTGGTTTGGTTCTCTATAACCACCTTCATCGTGTTAGAAGCTGCACACTAACTTGTCAGGTTGCAGCTAGGATTCTACAATGAGGGTCTCCTGTGGTCTTCAACACTGGAATGTAAGGGAGGGAAAGGCGCCCCCTTAAGGCCCAATGGAGCACTGAGTGTGGCCAGGGAGCTCCTTGTTTGGAACAGGACCATACCTGAGAGAGCATATTCAGATGGAGGTTAAATCCATCTCACAGAGACACTAGGCCTCATCCCTCCTTTTCCTTATTTTTTGGTTTCCTATGGGCTCGTTTTGGGATTTATGCCACATAGTTCAGGCCTTGAGCTGTTCTGATGCTTTCTCGTGGGCCAAGGTGAAGTTTAAGGTCCTTTAACTGTCTGACGGAAAGTTTGCATTAAGAGAATTCAAGAGGCCAGAGATACAGGAGTGCAATTAGAGAGCAGTTGTGATTTCTCAGGAATGAGAGTGCTTGTATAGCCAGGCATGGTGGCACATACCTGTAATTCCAGCACTGGGGGAGCTGAGGCAGGAGTATTGCGAGGAGTTTGAGGCCAGCCTGAACTACAATAGTGAGTTGAAAGCCAGCCTGAACTACATAGTGAGATCCTGTCTCAAAAGTAAAATAAAATAAAATAAAATAAAGAGAAAGTGCCTGTGCTACTTCATAGCTCCCAATTTCCTGTGATTTACAAAAGGGTCATTTTATTGTGATACCACATGGCCTCTATATCTGAAAATGCACTCTGAACCCTTGCAACTGTCCATATGAAGATTCTTTTGGTGGGGGGTGAGTGAGGGTCTTGCTCTGTAGCCCAGCCTGGCCTCAAACTCCTACCTCAGCTTCCCAAGTGCTTGGATTATAGGCATGTGCCACCACTCCTGCTTTAAGATTCTTTGCATTATAGTGGCTTAAGATTTGATTTTGTTTTTGAGATAGGGTCTTGCTATGCCATTCAGACTGGACTTGAGCTCACTACACAGCCTAGGATGGCCTCAAACTCATGGTGATCGTCCTGCTTCAGCTTCCTCTTTGCAGTAATTTTGGCAAGGATATTATCCATAGCTTCTTTGCTTGTGTTACCACGGGTTATGGGGCCTGGGATGTGTGGGTAAGGGAAAGGGGATCCAGATGTTCGTTTCTGTTAACCTTGCAAGAACTTGTGGTTAGGACAGGGAGGGACATCTGGCCCTGGCCAATAGAATAGAAACACACCTGCATTTGCGCAATGCTAACCAATCAAGTACTGACCCGTCTAGAAAGCCCCTAGATCTGCTTCTTTGCCGATAAAAAGCCTGTTTGAAATCGGGTTCGGGGCTCTCGGTTCGGAACCATTGCGTTGGTGAGGTCCGGGAGTCCAGGCTCGAGCTTGCAATGAACTCCTCGTGTGATTGCATCAGACTCGACTCCGCGGTGGTCTGGTCTTTGGGGATCTCGCGATCTGGGCACAACAACATTACTAGAACCTCTGCATCTAGTCCTAGTCTCCTGAAAGCCACGACAGCACAAGGTGAAATAATTAATATGTAGAGACAGAAATAAGACGTAGAAGAGAAGCTGAGCTTTTGTCCCACCAATGCCACTTTGGGTGGCAAAGACCCCGACCTGGAGCTTGCCACACCTTTATTCAGAACATCAGCAAAAGTAGCAAATGACTAAGAGGGCCTGGTGATGATTCTATACCAATGAGGAACTATACAGATGAAGATGTGGTTCCTCCCAGGATGTCTCTGGCTGGTGTAATCTTGTCCTGGAGCATCACAGCATCACCAGACCAATGAGGTCTTAGCTGTGACCAGCGGTGAAGATGCAGTTATGTCTTGACATGCCGTAGCTGGCCTGTAAACAGGAGACCTAGGCCCTAATCATGATTTAATTTTGAAATGATTTTTCCCAAAATCATATAGAATGGCTCCCAACAGGGAGGGGCTCCTATTTTTTTTCTAATCATTCATCTCTTGGCTTCCTTTTATTGAAAAATGATACATAAAAGCCACAGTCTAAGAGCTAGAGATCTTTGTTGATTCTGGGATGTCACTGTTACTGGGTCCTCTCAGAAAACAGAGCTTGGAAATGTGCATGTGAATGCAGATGCAGGTGTGCACACTATCACTTTTCCTGACCATCCATCTCTGGAAACATGTTAAAAATATACAGGTTCATACCTACATTCCTAACTACAATCCAGCAGAACAGGGTTCATTTCAGCACTGTTTATTTGTGACTTTTCTCAGCTACAGTGCAATTATCTATAATACATCCATTAACATGTAGAGTAGCCTCATAATTGAGCTCACTGTGTTGTTTGGGCTGGCCTGGAACTCACACCAATCCTCCTACCTCAGCCTCCCAAGTGCTGGGACTACAGGTGTGTGCCACCACACCGGACACTAAGCTGTATTACACCATCACCGTAGCTTGTATTAGACTTGGGATTCCAGGTTGTGATGCCTGTCCCCTGCTTTGCCCTTGTTGCCCAGAGCTGCTTTTGCTATTCTAGATTTCTTCTGGTTTCATATGATGTTTAGGATGTCTTTCTCTAGTTCTGTAAGAACTACTGGTATTTTGATTGGGACTCCATTAAATCTGTGTAACAGTTATGGAAGTATGGCCATTTTTGCTACAGACATTTCTCATTTAACAACAGGATTTTGTTCCTGCAACTAAGTCATTACAAGAATTGGTCACTGAATGAGGAAATTGTATATAGTATATATATTATAATAGTCAAAACAAAGAAATGGTCAAAGGAAACTCCAACTTGATGACTTTGCTTTTATTTGCATAACTCTTACAAACATAAAACTATAGTACTGATGTACTGAATGACAACAACAAAAGACACTGAGACTCTGTAAACAAGATGTACAGGACCCTACCAAACAAGAAAGAGCAGTTGTAAGTCAGAGCGGTGGGTCGTAAGTCTTAATGGTTGTTAAGGGTAGATTATTAGACAAGTATTGTCTAATAAACCTGTATTGTTAAAATGGCCATACTACCCACAGTGAGACACAGGTTTAGTGCGAGTCAGGCATGGTGGTTGCTCTTCTATAATCTCAGCATAGGGAGGTTGAGGCAGGAGTATTGCTCCAAGTTTCTGAGGTCAGCCTCAGGCTATCAAGAGCCTATCTCAAAAACAAACAAAAGCAAAACAAAAAAATCAAAGAAACAAAAACAAATGCACAGATTCAGTGCAATCCCCATCAAAATACCAGTGACATTCTTCACAGAACTAGGCAAAAAAATCCTAAAATTTATTTAAAAGCATCCAAGATCCACAATAGCCAAACAATACTGAGCAAAATGAGCAACACTAGAGATTCATAATATGCAGCCTTAAATCATACCTCACCGTCCCGGCAACAAAAATAGCATCATGCTGGTGAGAAGCTGACATGTAGACCAATGGAATGGCATACAGTGCAGAAACAAACCCACAGGGCAACAGCCAGCTGATCCGTGACAGAGGAGCCAAATCATGCTGGAGAGAAGGCACTATTTTACAAATAGTGCTGGGGAAACCCCATTTCTGTAGGCAGAAGACTAAAGTAGAACCCTACATCTCACTCTATATAAGAATCAACTCAATTTTTGCCAACTGTTGTGGTTCACACCTGTAATTCCAGCTCTTGGGAGGTTGAAGCAAGAGGATTACCACAAGTTTGAGGCCCGCCTGGGCCATATAGTGAGTTCAAGGCCAGCCTGAACTACACAGAGATCCGGGCTAAAAAAAATAGTCAATTCAATTTTGCAAAAAGGGAAGGGAACTAAGAGGTGGAAGGAGGGAGATGGGAAGAAATAAAATGTGTTATGTGTACGAACTTCCCACAATGAATAAAATTATGTACGGCAAATGTACTAATAAATATTTTAAAAATCAATTCAAAGATCAAAGAACCAGATATAAGACCTGAAACTTTGTATTACTACAGGAAAATGGGAAACAATTGAAGTCAGGCACGAGAAAAGACTTGCGGATAGAGCCCCAATGCCACAAGAAATAACAGCAATCATCAACAAAGGGAATCACATCAAGTTAGAAAGGTGCAGTCCAACATAGGAGACAACTAACAATGTGAAAAGACAGCCTACATAATGGGAAAAAAGCCTTTTTCAGCTACATTTCTTACAGGATTAACACTCGGAACATTATAAGAACTCAAACTTTTTTTCATATACTTTGGGGGTATTCTGCTATGTATATATATATTTTTCAGTAAGTATATTGCTACTTTTTAGGTATACAGTAGTTACATTCATCATTGGGATCTTGTACCTTTACATGGTGTATCTTGGTTCTTATTTTTTCCCCATTCCCTTGTCCTCCTTTCACCCCTCTCCACCCTTCTCTATTTACAGACTTTATTTCCATTTCTTTCCTTATTTTTTCTTTTCTCTTCTTTTCTTTCCTCTCCCCTTCCCACTTCCCCTACTCCTTTAGCCCTTTTCTTATTTTACATTATCAATTATACAATTTGAGCCTTATTTACACTTTGTTTTTCACACCAGATAAATTATTCAGTATTTTCACGTGTCCTATTTATTTCACTTGAGTATGGCCTTAATATGCATCCATTTTCCTATGAATGACTCTAGTTTCTCATTCTTTATGGCTGAGTAGTACTCCATTTTATAGAAAAACCACATCTTTATCCAGTGTCCACCTCATGGGCAATTGGGTTGTGGTTTTAGCTATTACAAACTGTGCCGCTATAAACATGGGTGCAAATATAACATTGTGATATGATGCTTTTAATTCTTTCGGGAAGATATCCAGCAGAGGGATAACTGGGTCAAATGGGACCTCTAATCCTAGTTTTTTGAGATATCACCATATTGATTTCCACAGTGGTAGGCACATGTATATTTGTATTGGTTTGTTTACTGGTGGATTGACTCTTTACTATAAAATGTCACTGCCTCTGATTACTTTTTGTATTTTAAAATCCATTTGGTCTGGGATGTCCACTGTCACCACTTTTGTTCAGAATAGTCCTGAAAATATTAGCCAGCACATTCAGGAAATAAAGGAGTACATATAACAAAGCAAGAAGTCAAATTGTCATTATTTGCAGATGCCCCCATCTTACATTTACAAGACTCTGAGAGGGGCAGGGCTCATTGGAGTCTGCACCCTGCCCTCTGCAGGACACTTCCTTTCTAGGCCAGGAGCTGCGACGGACCCAGCAGCACTGAACTTCAGGAGGGAGACCAAGTCACCTAGGCATTTCAGCCTTTCCTGGCTCATGAACCAAAATATCGTTCCTCCCATGAATGCTTCCAAGTGTTTGGATAGCCTGCCCCTGCCAGAAGGACTCACAGGGTGGGAGGATTCAGTTGATGGCCTCATAATTAACATGAATACCAACCAGAACAAAATTCTCCAAAAATGATACAGAGGACCCTTGACTTACGAACTCAATTTGTCCCAAGGGCTTGTCGCAACTTAAGTTGGACAAATGAAGGCTAAGGCTCCTCTACACAGTCTTCAAAGTCTCTCTCCTGTGTACAGGCAGATGTGTGTCCTTAGAGATATTGGCCCAGGATTTCTCAATGAATCCTACATAAGAAAGGATGTTGTAATGTCCCTTACAAAACTGTTCTAAGTTAAATCTGTATCTGAGACTTTGGTCATAAGTTAAAACTAAAATTCGGTCATAACTCAGTTGTTTCTGTCAGGCCAGTTATAACTTGAGGGTCCTTACTTGGGAATGGCAAAGTGTCAGTCATAACAGAAGATGTGCACCATAGTAAACTAAGGGTATATTTGTTAAGGTTTAGATCTAGTATGTCCCAAAATGTCTCATCTGTTCAGAGGTGGGGCTTCTGGAGTGACAATATCATAGGGTACTATAGCGACCTGCCCTAGGCTGGAGGTAGGTCACAAGGGCATGGCCTGAGTTTATCTTTTTCGTGGCTCCTCCCTCCTCTCTCTTCTTCTTGGCCACCCATAGTGTGTGCAGTTTTCCTCCACCAGACCCTTCCACCATCCACTCCTGCCTGGAGGACATCGTGGCCTTGACTTTTCAACAATGTTGAAACTGTTAAAATTTTGGTGATTCTTAGAGATGGACTAAATGCATTTTGTACAATGAGATGGTCAAGACTCCTTTTGGAGGTCAGGGACAGAACATTATGGATTAAATTGAGAGTGTTCTCCAAATGCCTGGGTTTAGAGGTGGAGCTTTTTGGAAGGTGATTCGATCATAGGACCATTGTATTTACTTACTGTTAGGAGGTGGGTTACTCAGGGTGGTTTGGAAGGATTTATCTCCCTCCTTGGTCCTCCCTGCTTTCTGGCTGCCATGAAGTGACCTGTCCTTCACCAGACCCTCCCACTATTCCTTCCTCCCTTGGAGCCAGCTGGCTCTGGAACAAATCCTGTAAAATGAACCTCTTCTTTTTAAAATCGTGGTTGTCAAGTATTGTGTCTGTAACAAGGAAAGTGACAAAGACAGTATCCAAGGGTGTGGAGGCAGCAAGAAATTTTCAAAGGCAAAATTACATATTTTGAAGCTGTAAGGATCAGTAATAAGGTGAGTCCAGTCCATGGGCACAGGCCCTCACAATAGTCTTTTCCACAGCAAAATGTGGTAGTCTTGGCAGAAGCAGTGGCCCTGGCACTGACAGTAGCTGTCCTGTGGCCATGTGTGAGATCCCTTCCTTTACAGCCACCAGGCTTGGTTTATTTGTATGTTAGGAACCAGTGAACGTGATTTTGCTCATTCACAACAGCTTTACACCCTAGACTGATCTCTGTGCAGGTGTCTGTGTGGTGGCTGCTGCCCTGCTTACCGTGATCCTGGGTGCTGGCTTCTTCTAGCCCTTGCCAGCCTGAGGTCAAGGGAGTAAGTGGAGCTGTCCCACTGAGACACGTATGTCTCCAAACAGGGAGCTGTGACACCTCCTCAGGCCAGGGTCTCAGAGGTAGGACTATGTGGCACGGGTCTATATCCTGACCTCAGTGAGCATCATCTTCTTCCCTCTCTACCTGAGAATGTTTGGTGGAGTCACTGGGTCAGGGCTCTTGGGACAGGCCCTGAAACAGGAAGTGCTACCATTATTGGGCCACAAATGACCTCAAAGTACTGTAAGTTTTACTTTTAATACCGAAGGCCCTTTTCTCCTGGGCACACATCCCACCTGTGGCTTATGGGACTGAGCTCCAGCAGCTCCTTGGCAACGCCAACACGTGCAGGAGACACCTGCTACCTGTGGATAATCAGGGCCAACAGGCAAGTTGGTACAGTCCCTGGTGCCCACCTTCCTGGCTTGCCTGCACCTCCTTTTCTCCTCACATACCAACTGTGGTCACTGCCCGGTCCATGCAGGACGTACTGCTCACCCTGAGCTGAGACTTAGGCATGAAGCACAGCACTCCCAACCTTAGTGGCTCCTCTCAAACTATGTCCCCAGGAGGACCATACACAGAGGGCCACCAGAGCAATGAAGAGCACTTCCCAGGGCCGGGCCCTGGGCCACAGCTCCTTCTTCCTCCCCAGTAAGCACTAGCCTTGGCCACTGAGGGTACAGCAAAGCATCTTTCCATTGGCAGGAAGGCCCACAATTCCAACCAGATGACTCCATCCTTGGACCTGGGCTACAGGGGTGCCCATCTCTCTCTGGCAGCTGGGATAATGCAGCCGGGGCACATTCATTGGGCAAGTTTGTGAGGCACCCACTGCACAGCCACTTTCCCAGGCACCTAGCACAATTTATTGGACAGAACAAGTCCCTGACCTCCTGGGCTTCCACTCTAGCCAGGGGTCAGGCAGTCCCACAGGACATCACAGCAGGACAGTCCAGGCCTGTGAGGTTGCCACCTTCCTGCTGATGGGACCCCTCAAGTGACATGGGCTCCAGGTCACGAGGGACTGGGCAGACCCATGACTCTCACTGGAGAACAGGGTCCCAGGTGCCCCAGAGTGGGGCTCAGAATGCACCCCACCTCAACCCTCTGTGCGCACTCTTGCCTGCCCTCAGGGCCAAGGTCAGGGCAAGCAAGCAGCCACCTCACATGGGCCTTGCGCCTCTGCCCTCAGATGCACCTGCCATTAACGGGGTGTGAGGGGTAGAGACTGGTGAGGACAGGGCGACACATAGGAACCAGAGGCATGGGGTACCACGGTGCGCTGTGGGTGGGCTGGGAACAGCTAGTTTCATTTCCAGAGCACCAGTGTGCAAGGAGAACAGCTACATGCACTCATGGCTGCCAGGACCATGGGACAGACCAGTCCCATGCTTGGCCTCTGGACAAAGCAGGACCCAGAGCCCAGGCTTCTGCGCCGCTCCCACCCCAGGCACCTGACTGGGCCAGTACCTGAGCTTCTCAGCTGCCCACACTGTGCCTGCTGGTGTGGGGGAACACTGCCCAGCTCAGCAAGCCCACTTCACTTGCACAAGGTGCCCAACTCCTCCAGTGGGAGCTGAGGTCCCCGAGGCAGAGCACAGGGCACTGGCAACATGTATGTCTGTAACCCAGAGACAGGCCCAGCCACACGGGGACCCCAGGACAGGCACACTGAACCCCTGCCACTCCAGAGGCTGGGGGAGGCTAGGGAGCTGAGGAAGCGCAGCTCGTCACACTCACTGCAGGCCAGAGGGGCAGACACCTTGTGACCCAGGTGCTTGTCAGTAGCTGAGCTCACACCCCGGCTGGACCTTCCCGAGGATCCCCAGCTTGGACCCCACGAAAGAGGCCTGGAGGGACACACCGGGAGGATTGCTCTGCTCTGTTCGCCAGGGGCCCGTCCAGCCACAGGGTGAGGACTGCCTTTATTTTAAAAAGACCCTGGGTAACGCTGGTACTGCAACCCCCAGTGGCACTAAAGGGCCTTGATGGCCACCAGGGCATCCTCCAGCTGCCTCAGTAGTTCCCAAGGCTGGGGTGAGAATGAGCTGGTGTCCACGCGCTGGAAGTCGGGGTCTGTGACCATAGAGGCCAGCACCTCTGCGAGGCGGCCAATGTCAAATGCAGCCTGCTGGAGGCCCAGCCCCAGGCCTGTGTTGGGCCCTACTTCCCCCTGTTCACCCTGTCTCAGGACAAGGAGCCTCCTCTCTGCGATGACCTTGAGGAAGTGGTAAAATTCTTCAAAGTTGATCCCCGAACAGGATCTCATGATGACCTAGGGCAGAAAGGAGAGGCCGGTGAGCTCCATGGTCACAGCCAGATAGAGCCTCAGGCCTTGAGGACTGAGCTGGGGTACCAAGACAGAAGCACCATGGCCAGGTAAGGACAAAGCACTCTGAGTCTGCGGCCTGGCCCTGGTGTTTGCCCAGTCTCCAGCATGGCCCTTTGTCCAGTCCAATCTACCCACCTGGCAGTGGTGGTGCCAGTCGGGCATGGAGTCCTTCCACTGGCCAACTTCTCGCTGCACAGCCTGGAGCTCCTGTTGCAGGAAGTGCCACATGTTGGCCAGGTTGCAGCCGTTGACCCAGTTGTGGTTGATGGAGATGGTGTCATCCTGCAGGGCATGGCTCAGGTGGCCCACAAGCCTGCAACAGGGGCACTGCCCACCCAGGGAGCCAGCTCCATGTGGCCCCTATGCCAGGCCCTGTGCCCTGCACTGCAGTGTGGGAACATGCAGGCTTAGCCTGCTGTAGCTGGGAAAGGCCGCTCCTGCCAGCCCAACGGGATGAGGGCTCAGGGTGGGGACTCTCTCCACATGGGCTTGGGGCAGGGACAGGGCAGGGTGAGGGCAGGGAGGTCACCAGGTAGGAGGGGAGGCTGCAGGCAGAGGGTGGGGCCACGCATGCCCACATTACCAGGTTGTGCACTTGGTGGTGCCAGCCACTGGGCACAAACAGCATTTCCCCAGCCTCCTGCATGACCTCCAGTGGTGGGCTGCTGTGCAGGTGGGCAGGGTGCAGGCGGGTGTCTGTGAGTGCGGGGGAGGTCACGTCGTAGGGCAGGGTGCCGTGGCTGTCCCGCAGGGCCTCCTCCTGCCCCGGGGGGAACAGCAGCCACTTCTTCCTCCCACAGATGTTGACCGACCAGCTATAGGAGCGGAAGATGTCTGCGTGGAACGGGGACCTGTTTGAGAGCTTCCAGTTTGTGCTCTGTGGGGCTCAGTACAGAGCCCTGCTTCTACTGGGGAGGCCTCCCACCCGGCCCTCACCTACCAGGTGCCCCTGGGCCCTGCATAAACAAAGCGGTAATCGTCCACACCCAGGGCATCCCAGAACTCATTCAGCCAGTCGGAGGAGAAGTATGCGGGCAGGGTGAACACATCCTCCAGGTCTTCTGCAGGGGAGTCCCTGTGGAGCACATGGCTGCAGCAGAGGCCACCCCACACCACCCAATGGCATCTCGCCCCAGAGGAGCTGCCTGACACCCTGGCCACCTGTGCCAAATGCCCTCAAATCACTGAGCCTGGAGTTCGAAGCAAGAAGAAACTTTAGGGTGACCTGGGACCCACATTACCCACTACAGAGGCAGGGCCACACCCCCCAGCCTCCAAGACCTGACTGCTGGGCATCATCACAGCCTTCACGCCAGATTCTGAACTGTGGGCCTCCATCCCTGATGAACTCACCCCTCCCTAGTGGGCTTGATGCTGCAGAGCCAGGCTGAGGGCTGCCTGTGTTCCCGCTGGACCCCATCAATGGGCTCTAAGACAGACAGCCCCTGGCACAACTCAACCACCTGATTCATGCACGCTGACTCCTCATCAGAGAGGATGACAAAGAGGAATCCCTCACAGCAACAAGCCACTCACAGGTCCCAAGACACTGCAAGGGTCCCTTTGCCTTCTGTGCCACTCGGAGCACTGGCGAGCTTCTACTCATCCATTAAAAACCCTGCCCCTGTGGTCTCCATGCCTTCCTTTGCTAATGAGTCTTTCAAGGCTGTCCAGTAAGATGCGGGACATAGCCAGAAACTGAGTTTCAAACACAATGAGCAATTTTGTAGCATAATTACCCTCCATACAATGGGAAATACTCCGCTAAAGAAACAAAAACCACACTCACTATGCCTCTAAACCCCCAAAGCACATCGCACAATAGTGTCTGGGTCTGCTGGAGGCTGCCTGACCTGAACCAACTCTGTGCCCAGCAAGCAGCTGTGTTCGGGATAAATGGGGGGAATCTAGCTCATGACCCCGATTTGGCTGTGGGAATCAGAGGGGCCTGAGTTCTGTGTCCTGCCTGTATCCTTTGTGCACAAATGATGCAATAACTGGATGGCTTCCTGGTTCAGGTGTTACCGTGTCCCCCACGCTGTGCACTGCTGGGGGTCTGCACTCACAAAAGGCACTCATAGTGCTGGTGGAAGCAATCCCGGGGCACCTGGGAGTAGGGAGGGTGCACTTGCTCCAACAGGCATCCTGTGGGCTGGGCCTAGGGGTTGACAAAGCTCCTGACAGGAAGAACAGATAACCGAGATCAGCATGGGCTTCCAACCTAACATATATGTGTTGAAAACACTTCGGGTAAAAAAGCATTAGAATAGTGTGTGCTTTGCACTAGTAAGGCCCTGGGTTCAACTTCCAGCACCAAAAGAAAAAGCAGCCCACCTGACTGGTAGACCACTGTGGTTTAGCAAGAGAGCACGCTGCACAGCCACAGCTGCTTCCTGTTGGCATGGTGCAGCTGACTGGGAACCATGGCTCATGATCACTGCTCAGCATCATGGGATGCTAGCGTGAGAAGAGTAATATTCAGTCTGTGCCTCCTACTGAAGGGACAGCACCTGGGTGCCAGAACGAAGTCAGAAACTCCTGAGCTGAGCCATCCTGAGTCAGAAGCTACACAGAGGGTGGGGGTGAATGAGGAGGCATCGAGGGCCTCCTTAGACTTCCAAGGTAGGCAAGAACTTGACTGTGCTATTCAGCTATGTGCTGGACAGAGCGCCCAGCAGGAGCAGGACACTGGGAGGATGCAGTGCAGCCCAGTCACCAGAGGGACAGGGCAGACCAGGACACAGGGCTGAGAAAGGAAGCTGGGAAAATGCCAGACAGAGCAGGTGCAAGCCCACAGCCACCTCTGCACACACAAGGCCCAGGCCCCTTGGGCAGCACAGTGAGGGGCGCACCTTGTGGATGAGCCACCATGGCCACACTGCAGCACAGACTGGAGCTCCTCTGCCCACCCACACCTTGCGAGAGCCAGGCTCACGGCTCTAAGCGGGCCCTCACCTGCACAGGTGCCAGTCCTTGAGGTAGAGGCAGCCCCGTGGGGAGGAGTCGCCACACTGGATGTACTCCTGCCAGTAGGCGATGTAGTCCCGCAGGGGCATGAGCTCCTTGGGGTTCGAGTTGTATTCCTGGACCCCACAGTTGGCCACAGGTACCACCACATCTCCTGCAGTGAGGGATACGGCTGAGCCTCTATACTCCTCCGTCCACCAGCCATAGTGAGCCCCTACCAGGCTGGACACTTCTTCCTCCTATGCTTCATGAGGCCTTGCCACGATCCATGGCTCTGGATTGTCCCTGGGGTTCATCCTGGCTGCCCTGGAATTTGGAGCTTGATCCTCACCCTCCTGACCTGAGGGTACTGAACCCTCCGTGTTACCCGGCTGCTCCCGGGGCATCTAATCCTCTGTGTCATCTAACACTCTGTCCCTTGCTGTCCTAAGGGGACTTACCATCTGCACCCCTAGCTATCCCTGGCCACTAGCCCTCCGTGTCCCCCGTGTCCCTGGCTCTCCGGGGGTGCCGGCCCTCCATGTCCCTGCCATCCCTGGGGTACTGACCCTCTGTGTTCCCACTGTCCCGGGGTACTGATCCTGTGTCCCCGCTATTCCAGGATCTGGCCCTCGCATCCCCACTGTCCAGGGTACTCTGATCTTGCTGTCCTTGGTGCTGGTCTCCATGTCTCCACTGTCCCTGGAACTGATTCCGCATCCCCGCTGTCCGGGGTACCGATCCTGTGCCCCTCGCTGTCCCGGTGGCACTGGACCTCCGCGCCCCGCTGCCCTTCCCCTCTGGCCCTGCCTCCTCACCATACTTGCTTAGCAGGTACTTGAAGTCCGGCTTGCCCTCGGGCGTCACCCAGCGCCGCCGGCTGCCCCAGGACGCGGTGAAGGCGCTGGAGAACACGCAGGGCAGATTGGGTAGCAGGAAGCCGGTTACGAAGTCGGCGTAAGAGAAAGCGCAGGGGTCCGGGATGAAAGCGACGCCTAGCGGCGCCAGCCCGCCGGCTTGGATCCGGCCCCCCACGGCCCGGAAGTGCTG